AATCATACTTCTATATACTAGCAATAAACAATCCAAAAATTAAATTAGAAAAACAACTCCACTCACAATACTATCAAAAAGAATAAAATACTTAGGAATAAAATTTAACAAAATAAGAGCAAGGACTGTACACTGAAAACTACAAAACACAGTTGAAAGAAGTTAAATAAGACCTAAACAAAAGAAAAGATATCCCATGTTCATGGATTGGAAGGCTTAATATTGTTAAAATGATAATATCCCCAAATTGATCTACAGATTCAATGTAAACCCTATCAAAAATCCTAGCTACATTTTATGCACAAATGAACAAGCTGATCCTGAAATTCACATGCAAACAGAAGACTACATATCAAGCCTTGGGGAATCCCACTCCACAACTTTTTAATGACCAAACAAAGAAGAGCTAACAAAGAAGTCTGAGAATGAGCAGCCAGGTAGGTGTAGGTGACAGGGACACCAGGAGAGTGCGGTGTCATGGAACTGAACACAGCCAAGGGTTTCAAGGAGGATGGATCAGCAGGGGCCACTCCTGCTGGGAGGCAAAATAAGATAAGAACTGAAATCTGTCCATTGGTTTAGTGACAGGAGAGTCGTGGATGGCCTTAGCAGAGCCAGCTTTTGTGGTATGAAAGGGCCAGAATGCAAACTGGAATGGATTGAAGAGGGAGACAGAAGTTAAAAAAAAAAAAAAAAAGTAGACTGCAAATACAAACACTTCTTTCAAAGACTTTGGTAGTGAAGAGGAGAAGAGCACTAAAGCAGAGGGGGAGGTTGGGCCAGCTATGTGTATGTGTGTGTCTGTCTGTTTACTCGTATTTAAGAAGGAAAAGGCCTGAGTTTGAGTATCAGTGGAGGACGGGTGATGAAAGATCCAAGAAGGAGAAGCAGTCAGGGATGGCTCTCTGTACTCGGAAGGAGGAGGGAGGAGAAAGACTGGCCTTGGTGGAAAGAGGAAGTGTGTCCACTAATGTAACAAGAGGGGAGATGAGGATGGGGAATAGAAAGGTAGGCACATAGGTTTGACTTAGGAGCTGAAGGGTTCCCATCTGACAGGTGCATTTTTCTCTGTAAAATACGAATTGAGTTGTCTGCTGTGAGTGAGGGTGAGGGTTGAGGTTTTGGGGGTTTGGGGAAGATAAAGTCTTCAAATGGCCATTGCAGGACAGAAGATCGCTGCCCGCCAGGCATTATTAAGGCCCATGTGAGGGGTGTGGGCATGGTTCATGATGGTGGCCACCTGCCATGCTACACAGGTGGGAATTGGGTGGAGAGCGGGAATATGGCAGAGTTTTGGATTAGCCAGAAGAACATGATGGAAGGTCAGATATTGGCAATGAGGGATCATGAAATCTAAGCTAGGTTCCAAGGGAAGTAAAGGAAAGAAAGTGATGAGAGATTGAGGAAAAGGAGACTGCAAGAAAGGAAAGCAAGCAAGAGATTGCTCTTGGAAAAGGTCACAGTGGGAGTTGAGCAGACAGAAGGAGGCAAATCCAGCCTCATGCTGCCACTTTCTGTGTTCACAAGAGGCTGCTCTGCACTCTCCCCCGCCCCATCACTCCGATTAGCACCACCTGAGCCCAGTAGAAAATACTTTGAATGAAACTCAGGAATCCTGGTCCTACCTCAAACTTCACACCCCAATAGGGTGACACCAATCTGCAATGGACCCCTTACTTTGGCACAGAACTTCATAATCTCCAAACCAAAACACCCCCATATCCTTCATCTTCTTGGTCCTTTCAAATAAGAACCTATGAAAATGGAGCAGCAGGCACAATTATTCCCATTTTCCACATATTAGGAACTCGGGTTCAGGGAAGTTAACTGACTTCCCAAATTCACACAGCTGGCAATGGGAGAGCAGAGACACAAAGCCAGTGAGGGCAGGACCCAGCACCAACACCTCCTCTCTGTCAGGTAAGCAGGATCTGATTAATGTTGGCTGACCTGGGTAGTGTCATAAAATGAAAGAAAACTGGGCCAGCCTCAGTGGCTCACACCTATAATCCTAGCACTCTGGGAGGCTGAGGCGGGAGGATCCCTTCAGCTCAGAAGTTCGAGACCAGCCTGAGCAGGAGCGAGACCTGGTCTTTATTAAAAATGGAAAAATTAGTCAGGCCTCGTGGCATGTGCCTGTAGTCACAGTTACTCGGGAGGCTGAGGCAGGAGGATTGTTTGAGCACAGGAGTTGGAGGCTGCAGTGAGCTATGATGATGCCATTGCACTCTAGCCTGGGTGACAGAGGGAGACTCTGTCTCAAAAATAAATAAATAAGAAAAAGAAAAACGTGGTCCAAGATTACCAACCCTGGATCAGGCAAGTGTGCGTATTTGCCACACTAAAAAAGCTAGCTCTAAATCAGGAGCACACAGCTTTCCTGCCTTTGCATGCCAGACTACCCATGACCCTCTAGCAAAGTCCTAACTAAGGATTAGA